CTCTACCAACGGATGGCCAGCTACTCCCGTTCCTCCATCCTCCTGGGGGTCTTCACCAGCTCGGTGTTGGGCCAGCTCTGCGTCACCTCGGGTGCTGTCTCCTTCCTCACCCTCAACTACGTCTCGTTGGGCTTCGTCGCCTTCGGCCTCGTCCTCACCCTCTTCCTCGAGCGGCCCCGACGCAGCCTCTTCTTCAACCGCCCCCGAGAGGGTGGGGAAGGGGCTGAGCTGGACCAGATGGCTTCAGAGGAAGGTGGCAGGGGGCAGAAGGGCTGGAGGGACACCACGCTCTGCAGGATGTTGAAGGAGGTGGGAGCCTTGGCCGGGCAACCCCAGCTCAGGCTCTGGTCCTTCTGGTGGGTCTTGAACTCGGCTGGGTACTTGCACATCCTCTGGAATGAGATCTACCCCACCGTGGACAACCGCCGGGTCTACAACGGAGGGGTGGACGCTGCCTCCACGCTGCTGGGTACTGGGGGGGACCAGGGTGGCAAGGGGAGGGCACCCCCTTGTCTTGCTGCGTGCCCTGGGAAGGGTTGGGCAAACTGGGGGTGCGTTGAGGGGCTCCTCCATCCCGCTGCCTCCAAGGGATTGGTGGTTTTGGGGGGGTTGCAAGGGGTGGTTTGTCAAGGTGAGCATCAGTAGATGAGATGGGCCTCGTTGGAGGGGTGTTGGGGTGCTCACCACCTCCTTCCTGCCCTCCCACCCCCCAGGGGCTGGGGCCTCCTTCACGGCTGGCTACGTGAAGCTGCGCTGGACGCTGTGGTCGGAGCTGGTGATGGGGGTGGTGACGGCTTTCCAGGCGGGGCTCCTTCTCCTCATGAACACCACCAGCAACATCTGGCTCTGCTACGCCGCCTACGTCCTCTTCCGCAGCTCCCACCAGTTCCTGGTGCCCATCGCCATGTGCGTGGTAACCCTCAAGGAACCTCCTCCCACCCCTTGGCAGCCCAGCTGGGTGCCAAAGCTTCACCACCGATGCCTTCTTCTCGCCCAGTTTCCAGATTGCTACCTCGCTCTCCAAGGAGCTCTGTGCTCTGGTCTTTGGGGTCAACACCTTCTTCGCCACCGTGTTGAAGACCATCATCACCATCATCGTGGCCGACAAGAGGGGCTTGGGCTTGTCCGTGCATCCCCAGGTAAGGGTTGAGGGTCACCTAGGATGGAGGTGGTCTCCTAACGGTGTGGAGGGAAGGGGTTAGGTGCCAGTGTTGTTCTCCCCTCATCTTCTCTTCCAGTTCTATGTCTACTTTGGCTACTTCACCCTGCTGGCAGTAGCCTACCTGCTGGCGGCCGTCGGCGTACCGCAAGGAGCCCGGGGAGGTGGCCTTGGCCAAGGAGATGTGTCCTCTGCCCACCGAGGGGCCAGCCCAAGAGAAGAGCCCGGAGGTGGGTGCCCCACGAGCCTGAAGACCAGCACTGGTACCACCATGGTTGGGTCTCTGCTCCCCAACTGACCAGCGTGGTCATGGCTGGGTCTTTTGGGCACCAACTGACCAGCATGGTCATGGCTGGGTCTCTTGGGCACCAACTGACCAGCACCAACACTGTTGGGTCTCCTGGGCCCCAACTGACCAGCATGGCCACGACTGGGTCTCTTGGGCACCAACTGACCAGCAACAACATTGTTGGGTCTCTGCTCCCCAGCTGACTGGCACCAACACCACCAGGTCT